TATTTTGGGAATGAATGACATGAATGACAACAACACATGATTTTGGTCAAACAGTCAGAAGTTGCAAAATTCAAAGGGTTATTAAGGGAGGGAGAGTGTGAGTGGGGAACAAGGAGTCATTGACACCAAAAAATGGAAAATTCAGGCTTTTCTTAGTCTGAAAAGGTGTGAAAGAAGAAGAATCCAGTCAGAAGGGGCACTGGAAAACACCCCAAAAAGTGATGTAAGCCCTGGTCAAAATTAGTTGATTTTCATCCTCCTTCAAATTCAGAGTCTATATTTGCACCAGTCTGGCACTGCCTCAACTAACTGCTTGGACATGCCGGTCCAACAAGTCATTGGACCGGCCTACCCAAGCACTGGCAGCATTGGGCCACTACGCTACGCTACACTTTTTGCCCAAAAAGTGTTAGCGTAGCGGTCCTTTTTGCGCGCCAAATTCGCGTAGTGTTAGTGAAAAGTTAGCAAGTTTTTGCCACCCTATGCTGCGCTACGGGCCGCTAACAACTGCCGCTACACAGCCAAAACACCGCTAACCAGCGTGTTAGCACATTGTAGAGGGCCCTTTTTAAGGGCCTGCCCCTGTAGTGTTAGCATGGATGTGGTGGAATTCCGCTACACTATGCTAAAGTTGAGCGGAATTCTGCTATGTTATGCTGCGCTAACCGCTACAGTTAGCATAGCTGGCCCAGTGTTGCAAGCAGTTCTTGGACATAGCTGTCCAACGAGTTGTCAAACTGGCTTGTCCGAGCTGTTGACAGGCAGAACAATCTGCTCGGACAGGCCAGTCCAAGAATTTGTTGGGCTGGCCAGTTTGATCAGATAGTTTACGCAGTGTGTTCATTTGCTTTAATTAGGTAGAGAAAACAGGGCATTGATACACACACCCTCCCCGCAAATGCACACCCTTGAAGATTGGCTGTGTACCTTTTCCTTGGTGTGATTGTGTACACACCAATAACTGGAGTCTGGAACATCCCACATTCCAAAACAATTGGGTTGGCAACCCACATTGCACACCAATTACTTTGACTGGTGTGACTCTGACACCTACTGGGTCATCCCACCTGGGTAGAATGAAAAACTGTCATATAAGATATTTTCAGTTCAACAACTAGGGGGGTTCACAATAGTGTTTTTTGATTCCCGCCCTGGGGTTTTTTTTTCTTGCCTCCTGGATGCAGCCTTTTGCCCTCTAAAATCAAGTGCGCAGCATCTGCGGCACCGCAGCACAGGACCATAGAAAATTCTTGTGGATGCCACAAGTTTTGCTCAGGAAGCGCTATTGTGGACCCCCCTAATCATTGCAGACATTGCAAATGACCAAAGCTGATCTCTGCTTTATAGTCAAACTCAACAAATTACCACATGGGTGCAGATGATTGCCCACCTCCATACAATGAACTTATGTAAACCTGGAGATTTGAGGTAGGAGAGTTATGTTTGAAGTACATGTTTTCAATTGGGTCATAGTTTGGTCAAAGCATCAGAATCTCATGCAGGATCACTTTAAGGAATGGCTCCCAGCTACAAAACCAGAACTTGACATTAGAATTTTTTGGGGGCATCCACTAAGTTGAACTTTCCTCAATCTCTCTCTCTCTGCCCTTCTTCTTTTTCTACTCATCCTTAAACAGATCAGACTATATTCATCAAGTAGCATGTTTTTGGTTGTTGAAAGCCCCCTTCTGAGTCAAACATGAACCTCCAGTAATTGTTGAAATCCTCATGATCCATCCGTGAAAGCTTCTGTCATCCAGAATTCCGCAGCACATCTCAGCTCATAGCCAACTCAAAACCTAACGTAATCTCAAATCAAAACCTAACTCTCCTTCCTCTCCTTCCGTTACCCCCGCTCTGAAAAACACCCATCTACTCACTCCCTGTCTGTCCGCTCTCCATTCTTTTTCCCCGAATCCAATCTCAATCACTCTTCCTCTCCAATACCTTCCTCCTCTGTCATTGCCATCGACTCGGACCAATATCCACTCACTATCTTCGACTTCGTCGACTTTCCCCTAGATCTCAGTATCTCATTCACTGTCAACTTCATCTATACTCTCTCCGACCCTTCAACCAGCGGTGGGCCGCTACGCTACGCTACGCTTTTGGCCCAAAAAGCGTAGCGTAGCGGCGCTTTTTTTGCGCCAAAAATTCGTAGTGTTAGCGCTTTTGTAGCGCATTTTCGCTACGCTACGCTGCGCTACAGCGCTTTTAGCGGAAAAAGCGGCTAAAAACCGCTAAAAACCGCTGTAGCGCAGCGTAGTGGGCCCTTTTTTGCGGCCCACACGCGTAGCGTTAGCGGTGTCGTGGCGGAATTCCGCTACGCTACGCTTAACGCTAACGGGAATTCCGCTGCGTTACGCTACACTAACCGCTACGGTTAGTGTAGCGGCCCACCGTTGCTTCAACTCATCATCATCACTTGGATCACTTCTGTATCCACTTTGGTGAGGAAATAACTTATTCCCTCGACTGTCAACCTCAACTAACCCTGTCATCCTTTTTTAGTCTTGTGTCCTGTGTTCTCCTCTATCCTGTCTTCACTTATTCAGTTGTTTCTCTTAAGATTCTTTTTCTGTTGTGGTAAATTCATTTTCATTTCATTCACTTTCTATTTTTCTTTCTATATTTTGAATTCTAACTTGTCTTGGTCTGCAGTCTGGTTTTGGTTTCTTAGCAATAAAAATCCTCTAGTTTTCTCAGTAATCAGCTTTTCTCAACTACTGATGTCTCTACGGTGAATTCATCTTTTTCCTGATTTTCTGTTTGATCAATTCAAGACTGATTACTCAGAATCAACAACTCTAAATACTTGTGGATTATAACATGTTTTCTTTTGATTAACTCATCTGGCTTGATTAAAAGAGATCGAGAAGCCTTGTCCAGTTTGTTTCTTCCAAATACTCATCTTTCTTCCTCTCAGTTCTTTATTCAACATGGTTTTGTTATTCATTTCTTACAAACCACATTTTTCACCATGTAATTGTTATTCTATTTAATCTAGTCTAGCTGAAAGGAATAAAAATCACTGATCCTTCACCCTTTTTCCCGTGAACCTCTCCCAAAAAAGGACCCCTGTATTTTTTGGCCCTCTTTTCAGACCTGTTCTCCTTTTTTTTCTTGCGCCTAAAGCCAAGAATTTCAACAATGGATGGGTGTCTCAGTCTTTTTCTTCAAACCATCCTACATAGAGTCAAGATTTTTTGAGGGCCCATGATGCCATCAGCAGTTGCTCATTCTCCAGCATCCAGATTTTTGAGAAATGAAAGAGGAGCCCATGAGTGTTGCGCTGTGGCCACAGGAGTGAGGAAGAATAGGCTCAGGATTTCATCCTCATGAGTCTTTGTCCCACCCGGAATTAAGAATTAAATTGGGCTGCCAAAAGGCTGTACCCCCCCAAGCAACCTTTGAGGTTCTCATCTCAGCTGTGGCCAATTGTCATGTGTGAATCGTAAGTTGTAGCGAAAAAGGCGGTGAGTGCTGCATTGCCTTGGGTACCCGTCTGGTGAGCAAGACCGCGTAGGTAGGGCTGATGATACAAGAACCCTCTAGGATGGTGCCATCGAGATTCGAGTGTATCCATTCGCATCCTGACGAGCGCGCGGATTTCAAGGTTCGTTGTATGGCTGATGTTATGCGCTATGTGCAAGCCTTATAACACCCAAACGCGTCGAAGATTGGAAATTCAAATCTTCCCTTCCCCATCCACTTTTTGTACTATTTACAATCTTGTAAATATAACCGCATGAAGATGTTCTGAGAGAAGAATCCCGATCAGGGCATTTCTTTTTCCATAAATCAACAACAACAATCTCCGTGTTGTGCATTTAAGCTGGCCGGCGCTCGCAGAAGAGTGCAGACGCAGCTTCTTCGCCCTCTGGCCCAACGCATCTAACGAACAGCGGCCCTATTGAAGCAAGACGCCATTCGAGGAATTGTTGTTGATCCGGCAGCCAGAATGGCCGAATTGGCCGAGCGATTCATGGCGAGGTTGCTTGCAAGAGCAATCCGGCTTTACTCGGGAGTCCTCCCAATCGATGAGGCCTATTGTACAAATTCTTGAGAGAAAAAAAAAACAATGCTTTAAAACTTTGTCAGTGAATAAATAACTCGTCAGCCCCTCGGGTCTCATATATGATCCGAGCCAAGCTCGCCATTGTGTCGTCATTTCTGCTTCTCTTGGACTCATCATCATCATCAGTCCTCCTGTGTTCAAACAAGTGAAGAAAGGGTCCCTGGGAGAAAGAGGGGTGCGACTGCGATGATGGTGTTATCTGGTAGGAAAATTAGCTGATTTTTGTCCAAATTTTCATTCCTGTGAGACTCTACAACCGAGGCTCGGGTAATACATGACAAACACACTTCAAAGCTGGAGCTCTTTGGACACATGATGGAATCCCATGAACATGAAATCCACACACCCAACGCATCAGATTGGATTTGTCAAGACTCAAGCTGTGATCAGTTAATGCATAGTCTGGGGTTTGTATGTATGACTTCCTTGAATGAGAGAGACTTGACCGCATAAATGAAGAAAATAAATTCCCCAGGTTTTTTTTTGATTCACATGATTCTTTATTGCGCTCCTTGCTTGCAGGCTGGGCAGGGCAAATTCTCTCTGGAACGATTCAGTTTTGTATGTTGTAACTTTGGATCTGGATCAATCGATTCGATTTCCAAACACGTTCGTCAACTTTCAAGCTGAGAGCCTGAGTTTATGGATATAAGATATCTGAAAATATGGATTTAGTGGCCCAACCACCCCGAGGAGGAAACGTTCCTTGACCCGCAACCAGTGTTGCTGTATGCAACAGCGCGTAATTTTCTGGTCGCCGGTCAGCTGGAAGTTCCCAAGCTGGCTTGCTTGTTGTAGGCGCTACCACCACCACCACCCACCCACCCACTTGTTGGATTCTCATTTTTTTTTTCTTGATCAGCAATCAGCAATATCACTCCATTTCTTTTCACATCAGCTGAATCCAGTCAGAAAGCCCTGGCTGTGTGGCCGGAAGGGTTTCTGATAAATCGCCACATCGATCGATCGAGCTGCATACACATAACTCCAGCAACCCAACCAGTCCTGGTAATCATCATCATCATCATCACCCTCATATAATTCAAGACTAGGCTCACCACTCACACACACACACTCTCTCCCTCTCTGCTTTCGACCTCAGCTAGCTCGAACAGTGATTTTTTATCAAGCAATCGACCCTCAGGGAACTGCTCAGTCAGGTGGTCTCTATTGCCACCACCCTCCCCGTCTTCAATAAAATAAATAAATCTTTAAATGGTCCTTGAAGAAAAACGACTTGATCCGTTTGCCAACCTGCTACCATGACCAACTCCAACAGCAGCTCATCCACACAACCTCGTACCTACTACACCCTCCTGGGCATCGATCAGGATGCAAACCCCAAGGAGATCGAGAAGGCTTACAAGCGTCAGGTCAGCTAAGCCTTCCTTAATATTCCTAACCAACACTGAAAATCTTACGTCAGCTCAACTGATCGGCCCTCATGATCTCTTCTCACTCTCTCAGGCTCTCATCCACCATCCTGATCGAAACCCCAATGACTCTCAATCTCAATCGACCAACATGTTTCAGAAACTGGCTGAGGCTTACGAAGTCTTAAGAGATCGTTTGAGTTCAATTCAACCCCTTTTTTTCATCCGATCTATAAATTTCAATGGGCTGACATGAGTTTTGATTTTTTTTTCAGCAATCAAGCGGAGGAAGTATGACCTGAAAGTGGCCAACACCATTGCACTTCATTCAGACCCCGCAACCGCTCATTCTCGGCCTTCTCCCGGAAACGCCTTTCCCAACCGTCCGGCCAGCCAGCAGTCTAGTCGTCCGACCAACCAGCCCAAGCGATCCTCTACCTTCGACCTCTTTGCTTATCCGGGAGAAGTGCCCAGATACGTCCCCTCCCCCAGTCGACGTCCTGCATCCACCGCGCCGGCCTTCCGTCCTCGCTCAGGCTCGTCTGCTCAGTCCGCCGAACCCATGACGTCGGCTAGCATCAACCCCAATCCGAGCCAGCTCCACCGCCACTGCTCAATCCCCGCTGCTTCCCCGGCCGGCCGCCATCATCACCATCAGCACCATCACCAAAGCCCTGCACAACACAAGCCATTCACCCAGAAAATCAACCTCAAGGACCTCGACTCACTCGACTTCTTGGGTCTTCATCCCCAGTCGCAAAACAGTCGTCCTAGCAACATCCCCTCATCCGCTCTCAGAGCACAAGCCCGGCCAACTCCCGAAGCCGCCAATTCCTCATTCCATCCAACACATTCCCGAGATATCTCAAGCTCAGCACCGGACCCATATCTTACCTTTGAACGCGCCTGGGGACAGAGTCTGGACGGGATCGTCGATGGGATCGCCGATCGGCAGCCCGATCACAGAAGATATTCCAACAGGAAATCCAACACGGAGCCCATCTCGCTGAACAGCAAGCCCCCCAGCGTACACCGATCGGCCACCGTGCGCAGTGCCGATTCCGACTACCGCTCCTCGAGCAGCAGCTTTGAGCATTCCACAAGACGGCCTCGTTCGGCCGGAGGCAATCGACACGCCGACTGGCTCCCCTCGCCCAACTGCACCACCAGTCCCCAACGGCTCTCGTCTCGCTCAGTACAAGAGCCCCGCTCGAGCTTGGATGATGATCTGCTCTATCTGCCTTCTTCGGCCTACTCTTCCCAAAATCGACGCATGTCTACTGGCAACAATGAGTCCTTCTACCACCAGCCTACTACCCATCACGCTCATCAGCAGCCTCGTCTGTATCGCCATGCGAGCAATACGGGCATCACGGGCTCATCCATTCGTGGCACTCACGGGGTTGGTGTGAGAGGAGCCAGTACTCATAGTCAAACCAGTTCACCGACTAGTTCGTCGACCGACTGTCCCGCTTCCAGCCATCCAATGGCCCCCAACTCTCGACGAAGTAGGGCGTCTACCTTGATGCCCGACTATCCTCCGCTCGAGAATAAGCATGATCCTCAGACTCAGACCCAGACTCAGAGTCATGGCTTGAGTAGAGAGTTTAGAGAGGTCATCATCCGCTTCGAACGCGAGAGAGACGGCAGCACTCGGCTCAGTAAGGAGATCAAAAGTCGCACTATCGATCTCGATGGCACCGTCCATGATCGCTATCGTAGACAGAGGGCCGCCGCCGTCAATTGATCTCTTCTTCTTCTTTCCCCTCCTTGTCTGAGCTTGTTGACCATTCGGCCCTCATCGGCTTCTTTTCTTTAATCACTCTCTCGCCCTTTGTTCTCTTATCGACACACATCGTTTTAATTTCCTTATTTATTTTATTTTTTTAATTATTCCTTTGTACTTTTAACTTTTTTTTTTTTTCTTTCTTTCTTTTTTTTGCATACATGCTTATTATATACATGACTGATTACTCATATACAGATCCGATCCTTCTTTTTTTCTTTATCTATCTCTTGTTGGCTCTTTCTTCTTCTCATCAGAGCTTTATTTATTGTGTGGTGAATTCAAGCAATCCATACACTTATTTTTATCTTGATCGATCATCGATCCTTCTGGCGACCACTTTTGCCCATCGTTTTTCACACACACACACTCACTCACACACCGTCTTTTGTGTTCATGTGTGTGCCCTTTTCTCAACCATTTCTTTTTTTTGTCTCTCCTTTCGTTGATGCTTTTGGCTACTTCAATATCATGCCCCCCCCCCAAAAAAAAAAACCATGAAGACGATGACTGTCCTCTTTCTTTTTGGCATGATCATGTGCATGTGGGATTGACCTCATTGATCATGATATCCTCCACTCAAACCCAACCAACACATATTTCATTAACCATGTAATTGTATCCTATGCTCATCTGATTCGTCCACAGGTGTCCTCGTTTTCCACTTTTCGTAAATGGCAAACTGAGAGGAACGTGATCACAGCTGCACTGAGCTGGTATATCGCTTGGAAAGCTGTTCTGTTTTTTTTTTCTTTATTTTTGTGAGTTGGGTCATCAGGACAATGGCGGGCTTTATAATAGTGTCAAATTATGGCTGTTTCCAATCCGTCGGGTGCTAGAAGGTTTTGGATAAGTCGTCGCTTTTTGTTTTTTATCTTTGAAGTTTGGCTTTGTCAAAAAAAAATCCATGTTACAACTTCGCTCAGCATTTGCGCTTTAGAAAAAAAATTTCCCCTTCGCCCTCTTTTAACAGTCCAACCTGTCCAAGGACGTATGTACCACCCCTTGGGAGAAGGATTTTCTTACGTCTTGGAAGCTGGTTATATGTCCTCACAGAGGGAGTGAATTTGTAGCCAATTTATCATTTGGGAGAATCCCCTCACAACCATGCCCTTTTATACAGGTTATATGTGGGTATGCTCTTAGACAGGTTTGACTGTAATTTCAATTTGTTTCTTTTTTTTTTTTGGTGTGCGCAAAGTTTTGGATGTGAAAGCTGGGATGAGAACTACTTTTTAGTCGCTAGGACCAGAGATTGCAAAAAAAAATTCAAATCAAATCAAATCAAAGAAAGAGCTTCAAAACCCAAAACGACATTGCAATATGGAGAGATTTTTTTTTTTTTTTTTTTTTTTTTTTTTTTTGTCAAAGAACACAAAAAACAAAACGAGTGATGCAACAAGAATTCTTCATCAAAGAACAAAATAAAGAGCAGAGGGGAAACCAAATGTACAGCTATTTCGGAAAGGGTTGTCCACTTGGACTCGCGAAATCTTTTTTATTTTTTTATTTTTTTTATTTTTTATTTTTTTACTGAACTGGACCTGTCAGAACTGAACTATCGATGACAGCTGTACCTCCTCGGCTGTAGTTCAGTACAAAGAAAAATTTAAAAATTTTCAAAAAAAAAAAAAAAAATTTGAGAGACAACTGGACAACCCTTTCCGAAATAGCTGTATGTAGTCCATTCAATCCCTGATGCCATGAGCAGAGTTTTTCTTTTCTGAGGGGGAAAGGAAGACCTGTCTGACGCTCTTCAGAAGCACAGAATCGGAGGTATCGCCGGTCGCATCGAACATCTCTACGCCTCCTAAGCCGTGCTCGAGAGCATATGACGCTTTCTCTTTCAGCGAGAAGGAATCGTCGTAACTGATCAGGTTTTTGGTCGATGGATTGAATAGGAAAGGCTGTTTGGTTGAAAGAGATTTTTAAAAAAAAATATGATGTTAGCATTTCCTCGAAAATCATACAATACTTATAAAAAAAACAGTATTCACAGTATGTGTGCAGTTATCGTAGTGTCGTTCATAGCCATTCAAGCCTTCCTTTTGGTCCTTAGAAAGCTTTCCAGTTTCGGCCAATTCCTTGAACAACCATTGACCACCAGCGACGTTAGGGACTCCACAGACATCGTTACCGGAGGGTTCGCCGGCGGTTTTCCCACCGGGCGGGGTAGAGTTAGTGCGCGGTTGGAAGAGTTGACTGGTGACGCCAGATTTACCGGAGAAATGACTGGGGATGATGCGGTTGTTTTTGAGCGTATATCCGTACCCATATGCGGGGATACCAAGCAATAGTTGGTGGGCCGGCACTCCCGTCGTCGTCCATTGCTTGATCGCTTGGGCGACCGAATATCGTTGCGTCGGCTCTGAACATGTCGAGTATAGAGGCGAGTTCGGGCCCGCTACTTTGGAAATGCTCGAAACATATACATCATACGCCTATCAACGTTTTTTTATACCTCAGTTCACTTGATGTCGCAGCTCTAATTGGACTCGTTTGATCAACTGATCATGGGAGAGAAACTTACCATGATCGTGAAAAAGTTTAACACTTTGGCATATGCGCTCACATCCGTCAGATAGTTTTTCCCATCTGCTGACATGAATCCTTTCATCGAGACCGCGGCCGAAAGTCGGAACTTGGGGCCCAGTTTGGCGCGCAAAACTTTGACGAATTCCAGGAAATTCTCCGAATCATTTTTGTTCAGTGCGTTACAACCAATCCCTTGGACATTTTGATATTCCCAATCTGTTGTGTGTCAAACAAAAGAGAAAAAGAAAAAGAAAAAACAGTGGGGGTGAAGGGAGGCGATTGGATTAGTTGCAAGTCGACAGGTGTTCGACGTGTTCGTATAAGGATCTCTTGTTCGAAAGAAGGGAGAAAAGGAATTTGAAGGGAGGAAAAACTTGCCCAAATCGATCCCTCCAACGCCGTATTTCTTGACCGCACGAACGATGGTCTCGGCAAAGGTGGTCCTATTTTTTTGGTCGCCAACCAAGTAACTAAATGAGCGACTTCCAGTCCAACCGCCGATACTCTAGTGTCACATACGAAAACCAGGATTACAGCAATGAGATAAGTTAACGATGTAGATATATAGAGAGAGAACATAGCATAAGTTAAAGAACGAGCGGAAAAAAAATAAGGAAACTGTGGGATTGTATGACCCACCAAGGAAACGGAAACATCGTGGGCCTTCGCAGCCTTGATTACTTCAATCATGTTTTCTTCAGTGTCTATCAACAAATCATCTTGAGGATTCGGGGCAGGAACGGCGACGAAGTATTGGAGATGGTTGTACATTTTCCAAGGGATCTGTTCTACGGGGAGATACTTGGCATTATATCCCTATATATATATAACAGCCGAAAAAGTTAGCCATGAGTATTGTGAGCAGCTGATAGTAAGACAAGAAAGAGTCGTTGTGTTCTGTTTATGAGAGAGAGAGAGGTTTCTGGTCTCTTACGGGATAGTATACCGAGATGATTGGCGTGCCGTTGGTATGGGTTGAGGATTTTTTTGGACGGGCACGTCGTAGAATTGAGGGCTTCGGCCCCAACGGTATTCTCTAATAGGAGTAGCAAGAGTGCTGAAAAGCACCAGAAGGAAGTCGAGGGGGACATCATCCCGAATCAAGTTCTTGAGGGGTTTTAGTAAAGCCTAATTGTTGTTGAAGATTTATCGAAATAAAATATCGGAGAAGGAGGGAGGGGGGGAAGGTGGGAGGAAGCAGTGAGTGGGTTCCGGGATGGAGGAAAATGTTGGGGAGGTTGGGGTGATGAACGAACTCTCTTGTTATAAATATATCTAGTGATGAGAGACTTCAGCAGTGTCGTCTTACATACATATAAAATATTTATGTAGTTTCTGCGATTGGGTCTGAATCCTGATGAGTGGGTGCTAGCGAAAGAGTCGGACAAATAATTTGCAATTCTGTTTTCCTACTTCTACGGCATACCACTGAAGGAAAGCTGAGGAGAACAACCAACAACACACACGAGCAACTCTAACGCAAACGCGTATGTACAATGGCCAGCTTGGTTGTCGAGATGGCGTGTGGCAAAGGATTGCAGCTGATGCTTGTTCAGGCCGCGAAGGCTCCGTTGATTCGGTTGCTCTTCATCGAGCTGACTCGCCTGAGCTACACATGCAAATATCTATGGCGGTGTGTGTGTGTGTGTGTAAGGAGCTTTTGAAATATATTCAATATAGACGGATGGTTTTCCAAATTCCTTTGTAGTTATGAATAGCTGCTAAGTATCAAGTCAGAGGTGTGTGTCTTTTTTCATCGGTTGCCAGCAGATGATGATGAAAAGGAGCGCTTGATCAGAGATGTTCTACCTTTGTTATGTAGGCAGTAAATCCTGCGCCGGCCGTCTCCAGCTGATCGGAATCTTCAATATAGGGGGCATGGCCGGACGGTCTTGATGATGGTGGGTCAAGTTGGCTTGGAGTTGTTGCCCTTTTCAACAATGAGAACCGCAACAAAGGAGTGCAATCAGCTTTGGCCAGAAGAATTGCACAGACAACTCATAGTCACTGCGAAGATGACTTTTTTTCCCCGTTGGCAAGGAATCCGAATTCTGGCCTTTCTTGTCTTGACGGGCAAGTTTTCAAGCGGCATTTGGATATCAACAGTCTCACTGCAAAAGATAAGATAAGCAAGTTGCAGTCAAATCAAAAGGAAAAATAACACACCTGAAGAGCACACACACTACGGGTGCTGGATTGCGACTTTCATCGATGTATATTGAGGAGGAAAACATGTCCAAAGCAAGCAAAATTGTACTGTACTTGTATTTAGAAAGGTCATGTTATATAAGAAGCACAGAGCTCAGGAGTCGTCTTATAACTGCATTGAACTTCATTTGGGCCAAATTATACCCTTGGGACTCGTGAATATGACTACTTCAGGATGGTTTGTCATACCCACTATGTTGTACAATCACAAATACCATTTCCATGAAGACCCTTCCACCATGTCATGTGGTCGAATTAAAAACACTGCGGAGGGATGGTGTTGAGTTCATGGGACCAAAGGAAAAATATGAACAGCAATATTTATGCAACTCTTGCAAGGCGCAGCAGGAGAGTGTAACAGAAAAAACAAAGGATCTGGTGATTCATCTGCACAGGCTTCTTGGCCGGTTTCCTTGCCTTTACGCCGCTGTGTCGGCGGATGATGCTAGGGTTCTAACTTCTGACCCGGTGCCTCAGAGCCGGATTTCACCGGCCTCGCACCAGGTTTTTCCAGATCTCTGACATGACATCTTTTATGCATTGTATGCTACTGTCTTTCCAATGAAGCTTTGACACTTTCCTGTTTTTTTCTGGTTTGGAGGATCCCATATTTCCTTGATTATCCCTTGATTAGTGTTGACGGCATTACTTTTGGAAAAGTGCACCCCGGAGGGCACCTATGTCAGCTCCGGTCTCTTATGTGACCAGGAGTTGATAGGGTTTTTGGGTCACACTATAGCCAAGAGGGCCAGTGGAAATAAAGTCCAACTCTACACTGGTACAGTGGAGGGACTGGCTCCTTATAAAAATAAGGGACAGCTGTGGAATGAGCTTCACAGTGCCTGAGCTCAGTTAATATAAGAGAAAAGGGTTGATACTAGTCTTATAAGTTAAATAAGTAACTTATAAGGCTAGTAATGAGTATAATGGAAAGAGTAATTAATATGTTAAGACTATTGTAAAAACCCCACTCACTATTTATTAGTATTTTAATATCTAGTAAGGTGATTGGGTTTGTATGGTAATATTGTCTGGGGGATGAATCTCAGGGGGAGAGGCATCCTCTTAAATATTACAGAGCAGGGGTCAATTCTGCTGCTGGCAACAGTGGGCCGCTATGCTACACTACGCTATTTGACCACTAACTGTTAGTGTAGTGGCCTTTTTATTTCCTGGAAATTCTGTAGTGTTAGCTGACGCTAAACCCCACTACGCTAACTGTTAGTGTAGTGTAAATTTTTCTCTCAAATTTTTTGGTAGTGTTAGCTTCAAATAATCTCAGCTAAACTAACAGTTAGTGTAACTTTTTTTGCGCTAACAAAATTTTGACTGTCAGATAGTGTAACTGATTTGAAGCTAACATTGAGTGTAACTTATACCAAATTAAGCTACGCTACACTACACTACATGCCTAGTTACGCTACACTATTGTAGAAGTTACACTACACACGTAGTGTATTGTAAATCATCAATTAGAGAAATTGACATGTCAAGTGAGAATTTATGCTCTTGAACCCTCTTCCTCTGCTTTCTGTTTTCAATGGACAAGTTGTGTGAACTGTCCCTATAACTGATACGGCTGAGGTCCATAGTGACGATTTTCAATGTCCTATGATCACACACAATCCCACAGAAAATGAACAGCACAAGATGTAGAGACAAACAAACGGAGGATGTGCCTGGTGAGATTTGAACTCACAACCTCAGCAATGCTGAGTCACATACCAGAGTACTTCCTTTACCAACTAGGCTACAGACCCTTGTGGTTGTATTAAGGTTATTTGGGTGGTAGTTGCCATGGTTCATGCCAACAGCTCCACCACACTCTGGTGATACATCATGGTTACACCTCAACCCCCCCCCCCCGCTACATGCTGTGAAAGTGGAAATTGAACAAGTGTGGGAATGGAACCCAGTAAAGTATGATCTGAGGGGGAATTGAACCCATAATCTCAAGGTAGTCTGACAGGGGAATGTGGTCTTATAAGTAAGTGTTAAAAATTGGCAGGGGGCTAAAATTGAGTGGCCACCATTACCAACTGAAAAAAATGATGATCAATTAAGGGGATCTGGATGTAGGACCCTCAATCAGGCACTGTCTTCAGGGTAGACTAATGCTAGTCATGTGGTCATGTAACTTTTAATCAGTTACACTAACAGTTAGTGTAACTTTTTCACCAGTTACACTAACAGTTAGTGTAACTGAGGGTACCACTACGCTAACTGTTAGTGTAACTTTGCAAAAAGTTACACTAACATGTAGTGTAGTGGGATCACCCACTAACACCACTAAAATTTCACTAACAGGATTTTGGGTAGTGTTAGTTGTGCCTTTTTAAAGGTAGCTAACACTACGCTAAAGTTTTTTTTTGTTTTTTCAAAAATCCTGTAGTGTTAGTGGGCCAAAAATTCCCGCTAACGGTAACTTTTGTGTAGCGTAGCTTAAAAAGCTAACACTACGCTGCACTAACACTACGGTTAGTGTAACTGGCCCACCGTTGCTCGGGTTGATGATCTCGGCCTAAGCTTTCGGCAGCCTTTCTTAGTTCCTCAGCAGTTGTCTCTAATTCATCCAGAAGCTCGTGAGCCTCCTGTTCGCTGGCTAGGTATGTAGAAGGAGTGTTGCGCAGCCGAGTCCTGGAGATAATAGAAAGGAAGTCGGCATATGTATGTAATCCAAAGTACTTTGAAAGGATATACTTACCTCAAGGCCTCAAGTGCGGCCTCTTGCTTATACACTTCAACCAACTTATCCCGATTTTCTTCTTGCTCCTCAGTATGTGTTTCCTTGAATTTTCGTTGTTCTTCCCATTGGGCCTTGAAAAAACGCTTCGTAAAATTTCGACCGGTCGTGGAGAAAGGATTGGGTTTATCTAAAACCTCACAAAGGGTAGCCTTGGTCTCAGCCCTCCGTCGAGCTGCTGCAACAAACTTCCTTTTGAGCCATGTGGCTGGGATAAAACGATCAACACCCGCTTCACGTATAGAACGAAGCGATTGGAAAGATGTAGAACAAAGGGAGATTGAATCAAAGATACTTATGAAGATTCTTGATACCCCTTGTATTGTGGTATTTTAATCGGTGAGAGATTGCGGCGAGCTGATGATTTCGTGTGGCATATCTTAACGGTCTGACTAAAGGTGACAGATAAGACCACATGCGTTCAAGCCCCTCCCCATCCGATAGCCCCCAACCTTTGTTAAAACGAGGATTATAATCCAGCTGACATGTCCGCAAGTGAACATAGGCATGGAAAACGGAGGTCGCAAATTGAAGACGATCTTGTTGGTCACTGAGTAAGCCGCGCTGATGATTGGAACAAGTCGTAGTCAGAATGGCGCCGGAGAATGATGACTACAATCTAAGGCACTCACCAAAGCCATGTAATTGTCAAGAGAGCAACCTATGTCGTATAGGATGCCAACATGTCGATGCGGGGCCTCATTATTGAGAATCTTGTTTAGGAGAGCCATCGGAAAACAACACTGTTCACCCAATTTATTGATGTTTGCCATGTATATTGGAGCATCGTGGCGACAGCAACATCCCATAAGGCCGGTGTCGTCGCAACCTTTCCACGAGGACTCATTACGCTTGCCGTCAGCTGCCTTGTGAGCTTCTGTACATTGGTCTCTCTTGGGTGGGGAGAACGATAGGGAAAAAAAAAGTGATCCACCAGTATTGTACGTAGCAAATAGAGGTTCTGACCTTGTCTTTTGGCTTCTGGCATAACTCTATATCGATGATCTTGGCTTTCATCGCATCAACCTCCTGCTGGCTGACAAATATGTTTGGAGTTTGGATTCGATCGTAATCGCGGCTCGCCTTAGAATGGTGGCGATGCTGGAAGTTGCCATCAAGGAAAATGATCAGCTTATCTTGACTCATCCAAGGGTATTCATTCAGTTTGGGTGGACTTGGACCAAAGCACGCAGGACAGCTCCGGGCAGCCAACACCGCCTGCTCTTCTAACCGCAATACGTCACCAACCACGGCTTCGGTCCGATCCACCAGCTCCCTGTATAGATCAACAGCAGCCGCAAAAGGTTTGCGCAACTCGCGGGCCTCCAAAATAATGAAATGTTTGCTTCTGACCGGCTCAATGCAGATCGGTCACATCAATTTATGACACTCACATGCTTTCCGTTTCTTACTGTCAACCGATTCGATCGAGGTTCCAGATATTGGTTCAAGGCGGTGGTAAATGGCATTGCTCCGATGTGGCAATTGTTCCACAGGCAATTGTGCAGGATCAGTAGCGGGATTGAAAAGGCGGTGACTGGCCTGATAGGTGATCCAGGAAGGTAGCCCATCTGGACAAGTCGTACCGCGTCAGGTGTGCACGAGCAGAACTTCAACCTCTCCCGTCGTTGGCCTGTTTTTGAGCAGTCAAGCAGTTGAGTCCTTAACTTCTTGGTTGGGTGTCTTAGCGTACTTACCATAGATATCGACTAGATCGATGGGCCTTCTGGCTGATGAGATACAGCTGCAGGAGGTATAATCGCTGTAAGTATTCTCTGCAGTCCAATTCTTGGTGACTGATTTTTGTTTGAGGTATACCGCATGTAAGTCCTTCACGAGGTTTTTCCAGTTGAACCGGATAGCTTCTTGCCGGAGTCGTTCCAGGTTTGATTCAATTGCGAGATCGATCTTGTCGGGTTCCACAATTTCGATAGGTACCCAACCGTCGTCAGAGTCAGAATCTTCTTCAGCGTCTTCATTTCCTTCTCGATTTGTTTCATCTTCATAATATTCGTCCGGCGCCATTAGCTCTTCTGTCAAGCGAGTATCAGTGGCCAGAGCCTGGTCCATACGTGCCATGACGGTGTGAAGCCCTTGAACTCTTTCCAGCGCTTCACTATCACAAACGTGGTTGACCTCCCTTCGCACACGAATCTTTCGAGGAACTGTAACTTGTTTTTTTGTCCTTGTTTTGGCCATGATGAAGACAAGGATATAAGATATGCTGCAAAGGATATGTTGGAAGATATCAGTTGATTTGATTTGATCAATGTATAAATCTAGTGTTTTAACTCACAATCATTCCTTGGATGTTTGTTTGACCTCCGGCCAAAAAAGGGGATGCACCTGAGGACTGGGTGATCAGATTATTGTTGGAGAACTGACATAAGCGTTCGGAGTTAGAAATAAAACTGTACCCCTAACCCTTTGACCCGTAAACAAACTTAATAATAACTAAACACCTCCCCCTAAAGTCCAAAGTGCAAAACCGCTCACCACCAGAAGCACAAAAAATATACTGTATCAACTAACTTACCATACAGTACATTTGAGAAGTATTGGTTATTGATTGTTGAGGAGTTGATTAAAATTTCAGCTGTATGTTTCTAAAACAGTCATCCAACTACATGAGTTTGGATGGAGTCTGTCCAAATCATGGAATGATGGTTAATCATGTTGGTTAATCATTTTTAATGACCATGATAACATGAATCCATGCTTTTGAATGACTCATTAAAGTTGTTTCATTCCAAAGTTATGTGTGGCCATTCTAAATAATAGCCACTAAGTTATCAATCACCCAACATAACTTTGGAATGAAACAACTTTGATGATTCATTCCAAAGAATGGATTCATGTTTCTTATTGTTATTAAAACATGATTCCATGCTTTGGAATGACTCATTAATTCCAAAGTTATGTTGGGTGAGTTGATAAATTAGTGGGTAATTTTAAAGTGGCCACACATAACTATAGAATGAACCAACTTTAATGATTTATTCCAGATTTATTCGATTCTTAATCATCACTCAATTCTTTGAATTGACTCTAATATTCCTTCAATAAGTCAGGCATTATTCCATGCTCATGAAGCAACCATGATGTTAATTATTGGGGGATCAATTTATGGCCAGTAATCCAGTTTCAAGTGACTTTTCCCACTTCTCAATTTGAAGACTCTATCACTTGAATGAAAAAGCGTGGGCTTCAATCATCAGCCAGCCAGTATGTTGTTTAGGTTGTGGGTGGGACTAGATATTAGATGTTTTGATTGTGTCACATCCATTGTTGGCTTAGTGTTGCTGGCGGGTATGCGGCTTTAAGATGTGCTTGGGTTTGCCAAGGCCGCAAGGCTTTAATGTTAATGTTTCGGCTTTGGAGTTTCTATGGATTATTACCACAAATGTAGGTTTTTAGTTGTATATGGTAAGTGAGGGCTATATGGGGCAGCAGCAAGTATGGTGAGGATATATACCCCAATGATTGGACACCGGTTGCTGGATGAAGAAGGATAACAATTATGGTGACTAGGAGTATATAAAGGGACACATTACCCCTCTTCGTTACCTACCCCAACAATCCCTCTTCTCATTCCCCCTGGCCAATTGGTCCACTAAG